CTCAACAAAACCAGATTCGCCTTTAGACTTCTCCTGGGTCATTTGAACAGATATATATGAATTGTTTTGAACAACTGTAGCTCTGGCGGTTTTATTTTCAGTCAACTTTCCCTGAGCTTTATTCCCTCCATCACTCCAAACCAAATTGCATGTTCTCGCTGCAGGAAAGCATCCTTTAGTCTTGACCATATTTAAAGGTGATCTCGTTCAACCACAGCGCCCTCTCCCAGGTGTTTCTTATTTGTAATCTTCAAGCTTTGTGGAGGGCAAATGTCAAAGTTGGTGTGATCTTCATGAGATCTTTGGAGCTCCTTCAGATTTATTGACCTTTTGTTTGTTTCTTGAGGTAGAACACCAAAATATTCTGCCTTTTACAGCAATTTAAATCATAAAAAATAAAATCTCTTTATTTTCTTATGTACGCCATATGATTTCATTTTTTCCTGTTTTATAAAAAAAAGATTGTATGGGAAGTATCTCATTCCTTTACTGATATGCATTTAAATTTCACCCTAAAGATTATGATAAGCATTCTGTAAACAGCCCCTCTGTGTACAAATTACCAGTGACCTTTTCCTTGGAGCCAGTTTAGAGCAAGCTAATGAGGATTGCTCATGTATGTTCTCTAATACTGACTGACACATTCAGCCAGTGTGTTAGGTTGCCTCCAGATGGGAGTGCCCAGTTTTCTACGTCGATCTTCACTCGTAGCACTTTTTCAGGCTTGTTACAGACACTGATGCATTCAGGGGTAAATTTAGCCGTGACACCTTGATGCATCGGCGACAATCATGCTGACTAATTACCATTTGAAGTGCTCGAGCTGCAAGAGTTACAGTGAAGTCAACTAAATCCATCTTCTTAATCTACAGAGCCGTGCCAGCTGCTTGCTGTTTGTCAAAGCAGGCACGTTGCATTCTTAATTGGTGCTTTTGCTCAATTTTGAGATGTAGTTTAAACCATATTACCTTCAGAAAGCATGGAAGTCTTTCTAGAAAAGCAGCATCTGGACACAGCTGTGTGGGGTGCAGGACCAAGAACAAGGGCCCCTTTAGAGCAGCTTGATACTCCCCAGACTTCCTTTGAACTGTCATTGTAGTTTTACCCTCCGATAAGTCTTAACCTTTTCTCAGTGCAGTTTCCACTTGTAGCACTTTAGGAAAATATATGGAAACAGGATGATTCCATTTCATTTTTTAATTAGCTTCAGGACTTGTCTTCACTCGTCTTTTCACATTCTTCATCCCAGCACATCATCCATCACACAATGAAGTACCTGTGTGTATTTATAGACCATTGCTCTTTCTTAGACTGACTGCTTCTAAGAAATGAAGACGGTCCTTTATACTGTGTGCACATGAACAACAGTAGTCTTGTTTATGCATGAAATATCTGGCTGTCCAGATGGTTTGTGTGAACCAACAGCAAATGCTTAAGATGCTGATTGTAACACAGACCTCTGCTTAAAGGTCAAACAGAGTTTTTTTTATGAGGCTGTTTGTTTGGAATAAGCCTGGCCTTCTCTTTGACCAGCAGTAGGGATTAAATTAATTGCATGCAGTAAACTTCACAGATCTGTGCTTGGAATTTTCCCACCTCCTCCTGTCTTGTCAAGGCTCTCCTTTAACAAGCAGACATGGTTGAACACTGTGTAACAGAATACACAGTGTCTGCTCAGAAATAGCAGGAAAAGACGTTTATTAGGTTTGTTGCTATATCTGAACATGTAAAGGAGAGCCCATTTTCTTTATACATTACCTTTTAAACTCATTTATATGTCTTGAATATTTTTTCATTTTATTTTTTAAGATAAAAGTGCTAAATTGGATTCATTTTATTATGAATTATTAGGAATTTAACAGCTAACCTGGATTTCAATCTGAAAAACTCACACAAAGAAAGAAAAGACAATTAGAATAATTTTTACTCAGAACTCGGCACGAAACATCAGCACTGAATATTGCTTTAGTGTGCATGAACATGGATGTTTCCCTCCAGGCCTGAAACTGGTGTGGAGTGGAGATAGATGTATGGAGAGATCCAGTGGACTAGGGGACCTGAAGATGGAAGCCCAGCTTGGATAACAGAGGTTGCATGAACCTGTCCATGATGAGAAAGCATTAAGTGACAGTGGAGAGGAAACCTCTGGCAGAACCGGGCTCAATATGGCGGTCGTCTGCCAGATCGGTTCAGATGGGACAGTGGAAAGTAAGAGTCTGAGAGGAATGACACTCTGATGAAGCTGTAGTTACGATGATGGAGAAAGGAAGGGAAAAGGGTTGAGTCAGGGTCATCTGAGGCAAAGTCTGAAATAGCGCAACCACTGCCTGCACTTGTGTAGAAGACTGACATGTGGATTTGGAGAATCTTTTAAGATAAACTCCGGATGCTGATTGGCTTTAGTGGAGGTGTGGTTTGAAGCTGATTGCCTGTGATGAAGGTGGATAAGGCTAACTAATGAGTTTCTTCAATTGAACTTCAGCTTAGGCTCCATTAATTTTATTAGGAATTTATGACTTAGAACATCAAAAATAGCTCAATAAAATCTGTTTTTAAACTGTTGCCTTCAGATATCATTTAATTGGTAAGGAAAGTACGACTGTCTATTATTCCCTCAAAGGTATGTTCAAGAACATTGGCGATCAAACAAAGGAACAGAGCAGACAGTTCACACGAGTCTTAAGCCAGGCATACACTGTGCCGTTTTTGGGCCGATTCTCGAGCCGTGAGAGAATTTTTCAATTGGGCCAACTTTCTGCCTGATCATACGTTCTGTAGTGTACAAATTTAAAGCTCTCGTAGGAGAAGATGCACTGCAAAAACTGGAGCAAGACTTAAAAAGTGTATTTTATATGTTACGAGTATTTGTCCCTAACTGGAGCTGAAGAATAAAAGGATATTCCAATGGAATATATATTTTTTCCATTAAAATAGATATTTTAAACTCGCTTACCTGCTCAAATAAAGGAAAATAACACTCACTTTAAGAAAAAAAAATACTTAGTTATATTGACGTGTTGCAGGCTGTTATTTATGTAAAAACCAAATCTAGCCCTTATTGAGGAATTCCCAAAAAATGTCCAGTTTTTATTTTTCCATAAAACATCTTGAGAACATAGCACAGTCACAAATGTAAAAACAAGGTTCTCTGGGAAAATGACACCTAAAACCTTCAAAACATTTTGGCCTACATTTGGTGTTGGCTGCATCATGCTGTGGGAATGCAAACACAAATATTTGTTTTTTAGATGTTTATTTTCCAAAAAAGAAAAAAAAAACTTGTATGCTATAATTTATTCGCCCCTTCACCGTCATACACAACCCTATATTGGTTTGTCATATAAAAATGTTCTAATTTGATAGAATGTGATGTTGCATCAACTAAAACATTGAGATTGTTTTTTTATAGATAAGGTTGAACTGATATTACAGCTAAAAGATATGCTTACAAAAAGGTATGACATATTTATGTGAATCCAACATTATAGTAATTGAATGTAAGACAAACTATATGACAGATTAGGGGAAGAAGGAACATTTTGAGGTGTGGCTCTTTGATTCAATTAATGACATCCTTTATTATTTCTTTTGCTATTTAAGCCACCTCAAATAAACAGAGAGGGAACATTGATTTAGTAATGAACAGTAATAAAAGGCCTTCACCATCATCCCACACCATAAAAGCATAAGCTACCTCACACCCCAGTGAGCCACCTAATTGCCCTCGTCCACATAAAAGGCCTAATGTTCCCTCCCTGTGCTCCCTCACATTTAAACTCATAGGAATCAAATGGAGTATAACTAATACAATTGATCGTGATCAGGCAGTATGAATAACATGATAACTAAGTCTCCCCTAGTGCTACTAAAAAGGATGCGCCAAGATCCATGCATCATTTAGAAGCTTCTATTTATTGTGCTTTTAATGAAGCTTGATTGGCAGTGTATCCTAGTGCCCATTATCATCAGAGGGATGCGCCCATTCTAATCTGCAATTATCGGCATAATTGCGCTCGAAATCCTCAGAGTCTAAGTAAGCAATCACTTCCAGAGCTTGTGGGACACCTGTGTGAGTCACCCAGGAAGATGCTGCCACTGGTCCTCGTGTCAATTATGCATTTTAAAAATGTTCATGCCTTTGTGTCCATTTCATGGATCTTTTCCTCCATGGCATCGACCTGAGTGGCTTTTAGAGTTACCTCTATCTTGCTTCGCTTTGTGCTTTCCCCTTCCCACATGCTGTTGCTTGACCTTTAACTTTTCCGCTCAGCACCCCCCCATTGAACATCCCTTGTACTTTTATCTCTTCGTCCTTGCCTGACCTACACCATCCATTCCAATCCATCTCAGGGCTCCCATCACCTCCCAGCACAAATTCCTAACCTTTGGTCACTTTCTCCCACGTGGTTTGCATAAATACAGGCTTATTATCAAGCTGGTTGTTTCATCATAATTATGTGTTTTGTCATGTGCTGCCTCTGTAGCTGATGATAAAAGGAGAGACTGATTAAGCTGAGGGAGCGCTATTGATTACTATTGACAGGCCCCTCAAAGGCTTTTAATGAAGGAGATGTAAATTAGGGTTTTCCACGGTGTTTAATGACTGCGTACTATGAAAGGCCAACATTCTTCAGCATTCCGAATGAATACATGCATCCCGCACAATGTTGCATTAGGGACTTCCTCAGTTATGCGCGTGTTTGGCAGTAATGGTTCAAACACGAAGTTTGGAAGAAAAGCACCACTCAAGTAAGCACAAATCACGACTGTCAGATCAAAAGATCTTCAAAGTGTCCTAGAAGGGACTAAATCACTATGGTCAAGTGAATTATTTAAATCTGAAAAAGCACCTGGAACAACATGCTAGTTAGACTAATGTTCCAGGTGTTACCTTAGTGAGGGCTCAGTGAAAAATTGCATTTAAATGCCTTTGTAGGCAACTGGATTTTTAAAAGCAGCCTCCGTGTCTTGTTGTAATGTCTTTTTAACCTGTCTCCCAGCAGTCAGATGGCTCCCAGTAACCATGACCGGATACAGAGGCTGAGGCATGAGTTCCAACAGGCCAAGCAGGAGCCAGATGAACATCAGAGATCCTTCGGCTTCGACCAGGCCCGGGTGAGTTTCTCTTTAGGACAATACTACAGTATGATAAAGAGAACTGACCTCTAATCCATTTATTGTTTATCCTCACATTCTGAATTAATTTTTCTTTATCATCAAGTTGGATGACTGTCAATCAGAGATGAGTTTAAAATAGGCAAGGCAACTTTATTTATACAGCACATTTCATGCACAAGGCAACCTAATGTGCATCACAGCAACACCAGTAATGCAAACACAATAAAACAAATCAATCAATATAAATATATAAAAATGCATATTATAAGTTAAAATTTGTTAAAATACAATCAAATGCAATGGGCAACACTATATAGGCATATTTTTAAACTGGATGCAGCTTCACCATTTTTAGTGATGACTCTAGGGACTACCAAGGAGACCCCTACCTTAGGATCTTAAGGCCTGAGGTGGTCTATACGGCTCTAATATGTCAGAGATGTACGTTGGTGCTAAACCATGAGAAGACTTTTACACAAGTACAGCTGTTTTAAAGTATATTCTTTGAGCCACAGGAAGCCAGTGCAGAGACCAGAGCACTGGACTATTATGGTTGTATTTCCTGGTTCTGTTGAGGACTTGAGCAGCACCTTTTGGTGAACTGAAGTTGTCTAACAGCCTACTTCGAAAGGCCTTTTATTTATTTTCTAACCTATTTAAATGACATTTTATTTAACACTTGTCAATATTTAATGCATTTAATTAGTAGATTTGAATTAAGATGGATCCAAATATCTTGTACTAAAGTCGGGCATCCACTGTAAATTATTTTTGACTCGCTATACCCAGCTACAGCTCAAACTGTACGATGAAATCACAGGGTTTAAAAGTTCACCGCTTACGATCCATGTTCTTCCACTGTAAGGCCTGACACTCTGATGTGATCTACCGGCTCACACTGTACGTCCAAAGCCCACATGTCTGACCTAGCCCCAAGATATGGCGCTGGTCAGACTTGTCAACCTGGAAAAGAGGAAGAAGAAGAACTCCCTCGTTTGCACAAGCACAGTGCATGAGGTTCGGGTACATCAGCTGAAATACCCTTATAGCTGTGCTTTAACAGTAGGATTACCCTACAAAGAAATTATGAGGACAGACTGAATTTGAAACATGTTTCATTTTCTCCTGACCTTACTATTCCTTATCGAGTGGTGAGAGGCTGGTCGGCTCGTTACCCCGTGTACACCACACGATGCAAGACGCACAATGAGTCTGAAACAGGATCCGATCCAAAAAATTCTCCCAAGACTGGAGAATTGGTCCAAAAATGGCAAAGCCTCGTACAGTGAATGGCTGCTTTAGGAGTTATTTAAAAATAAATTTCCTCTGAAGAATGAGGACTTACTCAAACAAGAGTACCTAAGAAACCTAACCATAAACTTTTAATTAGGGTATGATCCCAAGCTTTAAAATGATCTTACAGACCATTGCTCAATTTATGAGGAATTGGAGCAATGAGGGAAAAACAGAACATAGATGGATGCTGGTGAACAAGATGGCATGGAGACCAGAGAGGAACCTAAGGGGTCCGTGGTGACTTTGGAGAGGCTGCAGACATCCACAGCTCAGATAGAGCAGGGTGATAGAGTGATTACTCTTTACTGAGAAGCAGCAAGAAGAAAGGTTTTGTTGATTGAAGGTTTCGAGAACCTTAATTGCTCCAAACCATGTAGGAGACAGATTGGAGCTAATCCCAAAGGAAAAATTGTTTGAGGCTGCAGAAGAGTTAAAACAGGGATGGAGGTTCACCTTCAAGCGGGACACAAACAGTCTGAACCACAATGGCGGCAAATATATGTTAATACAGCCCAGTTCAAATCTAGAAAAAATAATCTGACATTGAAGTAAGCAATGATTTCATAACCTTTTACTTTTTTTTTTTATCTAAAAAATTGTTCTTTTAAAAATTTTTACCAAGTATTTACCTCTAAAAGATTACAGTAAATACAACTATGTGTGTTTCTATGAGAAATACACACCAGGCTTTTATTTTGAAAATAAACTTATTGTTTCCCTTTCACTATACTACGATGCTCTGCTTTTTGTTGTCTGTAAAATAAATGAAACTTTTTTCATTGTAGGATGACATAAAATACAGAATTCAAACATGAATAATCTCTGAAGTAACCATTTCAACTTCTTCACTCTTTCTGTTGAGGGAAACTTAACACCCTTCTGTAGGGATGGCAGAGAGTAGAAGAAAACCATTTGATGACATGTGACTCTGCAGAACATACTGGCAGAAAGAAACTGACATCACTGAGGCACAGTGTTCCTATTAATTTTCATTAGACACGATTAAATGGATTTTTACATTTTCTCAATTAAACTTTGAGAGCTACTTCTTTAAGCTGATCTCCAATTCTATGATTGATCTGTGACAACAATGGGGTTATAATTGGAAAAAGGTAATTAAGTTAATTGCTTTGTTAATTTATTCTGACTTGATTCCTCTCCCTCCACGCCACAAAATAGAAGTTCAAAGGATAGTTGAGTTTAACTTAAATATCTTAAGATGCTAATAATTTGGTCTCTGTTTTAGTCGATGATTTGGTATTTGCAGGTTGAAGTGTTATTAGATGTTTAGAATTAGAATGTATGACACTTATTGCTAATATGTGTCACAAGCTTATTTAAATAACACTAAAAAAATAAAGACCCATATGAAATGTAGTAATTTTAGAGTTTATAACACCATCTACCCATAATAGATTTTCCGGAATTTTGGAATCCAGCCCAAAGCATCACATATTTGCCCTCTTACCCATTAATGAACATGAGGTGTCTTTTAAGATTATTGTTTGATTCATGTTTAAACTGTATCTAATCAAATTTATGTCCAATAAAATCAGAAACACTTAGAAATGTCGATACACAGATTAAAAAAGCTACAACTTTAACTCCCCCTGGCCATTAAGTGGCGCAGTTGTGTTCGCTCACCCTCATTCCGTACTGTTTGACAGCTGGTTGCCAGGTCTGCTAATGCTAATTCTAATCTTTGGTTGGCAGTATCAAACATTTAACTTATATGTTTAAAAACCCTCCACATTGCCTCCGAGTCATTTTGTGTCTTTAGGTTAGCATCAAGATCGGCAGATGTTCACCATTCTAGTGTAAAACAGGAAAGAAGCCATTTCTTGGCTATGTCACTGAGCTACTATTACCCCATTTACACTACACTTGAAAAACCGATCCATGCCGAGACCGGTCCGAGCTCAGATCAGTTAACCAGGCCGAGCTTGGTTCTGATGACCGTTTACACATCACGCTATCTCAATTCCTCGACTCCTCGCCTCCTAGTGACAATCTGCGTTATTACTGCCAGTATTGAAGGAGGAAATCAAGCAGTTGGTGGCGGTAATGACCAAAAGTTGTTTGCCAACCGCCATAAAACACAAGAAGAAGAAGACGAAGAAGGAGGGAATCAAGCAAATCAAAGTGGTGGCGACGGTCACATTCAGAAAGTTATGCTTGATTATTATTGCTCTACTGTGTTTGCGGAGGGTCAGGCGAAGACGGCAACCTTTCGTGGATGTTTATTGTTGTTTATAGTTGTTCTTCTTCTTCTGTTTTGCGTTGGTCGGCAAGCAACTTCCGGAGGGGCATTACCGCCAACTACTGGAATGGAGTGTGAATCGGGATGTGCAGCCAGACGGAGATGACGCGTTCTGCTCATGCGTTCTTGTTATCAGAGAACCGAGCCAGGGAAAAACCGAGCCGAGCCCACCTCTGGAACTGGTCTGCAGTTATCTCGGGTCGGTTGTGTCTAGCTCGGTTCAGTTCAGTTTGCTTTCCATTTACACATGTTAAGTTATCTCAGTTACTGATCTCAGACCGGTCTCGGCGCAGTTTTTCAAGGGTAGTGTAAATGGGGTATATGATTTGGCATAACTTACAGGACTTTAACTCACTGTACTATTCCTAGTGGTGCAATCATTTGGTTTTGATGTTGTAACCAGAAGTAAACAATAATATCTTTTCGACCTTTCAAAATGTATTTAATCATTTTATTTATTTTTTATTTTACCTTTATTTTACCAGGAAGTCCCTTGAGATAAAATCTCTTTTTCGAGGGTAGTCTATTCTTTTCAGGAAAGTTAAAACTTATTTTTCACCTCTATGCATTATTTAATAAAAATGTGTTGTTTTTAAGAAAAAAGTTGTATCTATAATCTTAAAGAATAGATATATTTATTTTTTTTTTTATTTAAACAATGAACAAATGCTCTATATTACCAGGTTGCATCTTTCTGTTTCTTGAGGTTCCAATAAGATAAAAAAAAGTCTATTTACAAATCTCTTATTTTGTATCTTACCAAAGTGCTGGACAGAATCAGCTAAAATCAGGTGTGATTACCTGTGTTTTTTTTGCAGGGATTTTTAAACAGATGTTTCCTTTTTCAATGACCTTATTGCAAAAAGGTTGAGAAACTGTTGCACCAAGTAGAGCTATTATCTAAACTGCAAGTCAGGATGTAATTCTTTCAAAGCTAAAACATCTGACACACGGTTTTCTGGGGAACTATCCGTGTCACTTTGTCAGTCTAATTGGTTTGGTGTGACCTGAATGTCTTGTCGTTTTATTTTCATCATTGTCCAAACCAGTTTAAGTAAAACCGTGGCAGGCAGCGTAGTTCCTAGAATGTTCTTGTGGAGGCAAAGGAAGGCTTTGTTTATCCGAGGTCTGCATCAGTGTTTGTCCAGCTGATGGTTGAGGAATCACTGAGCAGACATCTATCTAATCTCTCACTCTCCTCCCATTCACTGTGAGACGTTAAGTGTTTGTTCAGCACTAAGCAGTGCTTAGTGCTTCTCTTTCAGCATCTGAGCTCCTAATTGCTTGTGACTGTTGACATTGCTCTGAATACCACCGCTGTTCCTCTTGTAATAAGATACATGGCTGTCCTGTGAGGATTACAGCCAATAATATTAGTCTACTCTGTTTTATTTCGAGCTCATAAAACAAGTAATCACGAACGAAGCACCTGAAATAGGAT